GTCCCGGTGCAGACCGTGTCGTGTTCAATACCGCCGGTACCTATTGCGCCGTGATCACCCACACCGGCGCGTCCGAGACGAACGGCTTCGTATCATGCAAGGTGAGGCAGTGTCTTCAACTCTGGACTTTGAACTGTGTCCTCATCTGTGTTCCAGAACGACTAGGCATCGCACTCTTTCTGTTTCCCTGGAGTCTGTGTAGGATTGACATGGAAGTTGGATATGTACAATGAATACTGTGCTTCCATCACACGTCGTGCCCGAACGAAGACGAGCGTGCTTTCCCCGAGGAACATCCATGAGAGGAACCCGCATCGACCTTGCCCCGATCGAAACAAAGATCTTCGTTACGCCTAAGTATGAACGTCTATCCTGACCGCCATCCCCGCACCCCTGCAAGGGTCGCAATGTCAGACTTCAAGACCGAAGACGCGCTCACGTGTGTTGGCGGTGAGCACTGGAAAGTCGACCACGTAGTCGAATCGCGCGCAAGAAAGATCACACAAGAATATACAACGCGAACCCCATCGATTGAAATAACGCGCAGTAGACTAGAATTACATGCTGCAGGCGCTACGGCCGGGACAGGGCGCACGAAACTCTATCTCTACAGTACCCGGGTAGCCAAAAAGTATGAAGATGATGATACAAATGTGCAGCGATTGGATCTTTTAGCAGCGGAGCGAGGCGCTTAGTAGACACCGCCCGCGAGCTTGCCAGCGATGGCAGCGTCGACCTCCTTGGGCACCCAGGCATAGAAGTCGTCGGTGGAGTACTTCGGCGTCCAGCCGAGCGAGCGTGCGCGGGGGCCAGCGGTCGTCGAGTTGGTGCCGAGGATGAAGAGGAAGCCGATGGCCTCGAACTCCTTCTGCTCGAACTTGGTCGGCTCGGGCGAGGCGGACTTGCCGGCGGCGTGGAGGGCCTTGGTGTAGGTCTCCGCGAGCTTCTTGTACTGGTACTCGCCGTTCTCGATGATGTAGTGACCATCCTTGGCGCCGGAGGGGGCAGAGCCGTCAACGGCCTTGCCGAGGAGCGTCACGTAGAAGGAAGCAGCTGCGAGCGAAGATCAGCAAGAGGAGTAGTAGATCTAGAAAAGAGAACACGCACTGTCGTCAACGTGTGCGTGGTTCCAGACGCTGAGACCCTCGCCGACAACACCACCCTGGCCACGGCCGATCGAGGTCTTGATCGAGAGAGGAAGCTGGATCGAGCCGACGTGCGCGATGCCGGCCTCGAACAGAGGACCAGAGGGAGCACCCCAGACGGTGGGCGGGTAGACCGTGAACGTCTTGACGCAGCCAGCAGCGCCGGCGTCGACGACAGCCTTGGCGGGCGGGTTGTGGGGAAGGCCGTTGTACGTCTCGACAAGGTCAGCGTCGGTGTCCTTGGTGATCTTGCCAGAGGGAGCC